TATAAGAGATACTGTATTGAGCGTGGCTCACCCTATACGGAAAAATATTTCAGATGCGGGTTATGCGTTGGCAAATGACTCACAATTGGGGCCCCATGGTTAAAAAAAAGTCGACTTGTGGCTTTTAAATCCATTTTGTGTAAAACTAGAACTGTAATTCACTNTGGGGCCCCATGGTTAAAAAAAAGTCGACTTGTGGCTTTTAAATCCATTTTGTGTAAAACTAGAATTGTAATTCACTTTTGGCATGTAATGTATGTAAAAGGATTGAAATTTGAACTTATATTAACTATGTTTAATGCATAAATTCATGATGTGGGAGTATGAATTGATGTATATTAGACATCGGATGGGTCATGTGATTAGATATTGTTATATGCANATGTTTAATGCATAAATTCATGATGTGGGAGTATGAATTGATGTATATTAGACATCAGATGGGTCATGTGATTAGATATTGTTATATGAATATGGATAAATAGACCCGGTGTGGTCAATGTTGTATATTAGACCTCGGATGGGTCATTTGATTGTATAGTGCACAGGTTGTGTTTTGGGTAGAGCTCTTCGTACAAAGGAGACTCTGCCCAAATTTCATTAAATTATGGATCTCGATAAATAAGGCATAATGGCGTNCCTCGGATGGGTCATGTGATTGTATAGTGCACAGGTTGTGTTTTGGGTAGAGCTCTCCGTACAACGGAGACTCTGCTCAAATTTTATTAAATTATGGATCTCGATAAATGAGGCATAATGGCATGATATCGAGCTACACGATATCCACAGATATTTCGCGGGTTGATGAGTGATCAATGGACCCCCGGATTTTGGGGTGTCACAGGGATATTGCAAGCTTCCATTACCCAAAAGTGGCGATCTGGATTATTTTTTTTATTGTATTCCTTGTGTGTCGTATAGAACATCTGGCCAAGGAAATAAAGAAAGATAATACATTCATAAACCTAATTGATGTAGACACTATATATACTTTTAAACACAAATCAATGTCGGCCCCTTTTAATTATATGCTCAAANGGCGATCTGGATTATTTTTTTTATTGTATTCCTTGTGTGTCGTATAGAACATCTGGCCAAGGAAATAAAGAAAGATAATACATTCATAAACCTAATTGATGTAGACACTATATATACTTTTAAACACAAATCAATGTCGACCCCTTTTAATTATTTGCTCAAAAGAAAAAAAACATAAAGATTTCAAAATTGTATGTAGTCCATAACTACCTATAGAAACTCATGTGGGCTCACCTGGAGACACAAAAAATGTTCAGTATACGCATTTTATGAACAAAAGTCATTGCTAAAGTTTGATTACACTAGGAACAAACCTGTCCCTTGAAGTTCTTTGAGTGCCAATTCTTTCGAGTGAGCTCTCCAAATAAAAGGATAGGTGTAAATTTGTAATTTATATAATTTTTAAGGANTAAAGTTTGATTACACTAGGAACAAACTTGTCCCTTGAAGTTCCTTGAGTGCCAATTCTTTCGAGTGAGCTCTCCAAATCAAAGGATAGATGTAAATTTGTAATTTATATAATTTTTAAGGATAAGAAAAAAGTTCCTCAATGGAGTAACTCGCATTAAAGATTTAATTGTGTAACTTTCACAAATTCAGTCTTTCTAATGTTATTGAGTCCTACCTAAACAAAATTGTCGAAGCCATCAGATTATAATTAGCACTAGAGAATGGTGAAATTGGACACTTGATTGTCTAAGTTTATATTTAAAATTATCCAAAATATACCAATGAGCAACAAGACTGAAATGTCATAGTAATAGCAACAAATATAAGAACCAGTAAGTGCCCTAGACCATTGCTTATTTCTATCAACCTGCTAAACTTGCGTCTGAGTAAACCTGTACAATAATATTANACAAGACTGAAATGTCATAGTAATAGCAACAAATATAAGAACCAGTAAGTGCCCTAAACCATTGCTTATTTCTATCAACCTGCTAAACTTGCGTCTGAGTAAACCTGTACAATAATATTAAAGAAATCGAACGAGGAGATTAATCAAAATTGGAATATAAACTATTAGCAAAGATATAAAGGGATAAAAAATTCTGCTACATATAAAAAGCAATTAGAGCTAAATATTAGTGAACCTCGAGTTAAGAACATGTCGAATGTCATTTAATAAAGAGTCAATGATTTCATATCCATCAGGAAGGTAATAAACTTTCTCTGTTCGAAGATTGTGTAAACATGGTGTCCTGTTTCAAGACTATGAGTGTATGCATGAGATTTCTGGCATCTTCCTTAGTAATACTTCCCACAGACCAAACACGCATAAAAATTCAAAAGAGAAAGAGAAATAGAATAAAACTTTTCAAAATAAAAATTCAAAACATACAACAAAAATCTATAAAAGTCAAATGCATCTGCAAATAAAAGCACATAAAGCCACTACCACCTCAAAAATAATGAGATGTGCTCAAAAAGAAATTTAGTAAGCTCATGCAACAGATTCTGCCTCTTGGAGTCATCAGTCATTGTATTCTCTTCTTCTCCTCTCTTTGTTTTCATTCTATTCACACATAGTCTAAAATTTTGGTGAGTTGAAAGTAATTGGAGGATCGATAAGATTGTGGACAGATGCCCACAAATTGATACAAAAAGAGCCAAAATTTTGAAATATAACAAAGCAGAGAAATGAGAGAATGGAAGACAAAGAAGATTATCGAGAAAAACACTTTTTGTATCAACTGAGAAAGATTTATTTATTGTGGGAGACAATGAGTTGTAAATGTTTTAGGGTTAATTTAAGAAAATTAAATATAATCAGTGTATTAATTTAAGGAAATTAAATATAATCAGATGATCATGCACTAGCATTACTTGTTGAACAATGCAGCTAATCAATTTGATGCTAAGGGAAGATCAAAAGACATAGTGGCTATGATTGACTTTATACCAATAGTTAAGGATAAAAACGAAATATAAATAATTTTCATGTATCCTCACTTTTTAAGTAGTATACAGATTAATTACATAGATTAGTTTAAGATTGATTAATAATCGATATGAACTCAAAGTGCCATAATACATGTGATATGAAATGACTCGAATTTTACATCTAGTTGTGAAGAGAAGAGAGGAAATTAGAGATCATACAAGAGTTATATGAGAAGTTAAAATTTTAATTTTAATTGTTTAATTTGTAAAACAATCCCAATTATTTTTTAAAATAAAACCCTACCTCAAATTATTTAAAAACTTTCAATGGAGACAAGTTCTAAATAATGTTAAATTTATCATAATTTCAAAGAAGCCCCAAAGTTTTTTGAAATGATAATGACCCCGTGCTGGATTCACCTCAGACACCACTCATATTCAAATTTATTTATTAATTTGTGTCTAATGAGCTATATTATATCAGGTTTGTGTCATGTATGAATCATGTATAACTAGTATATAAACGAATCATGTTGTATTTTTTTTTAATTGGTTTCACTTATATTCAATTCGTTTATTAATCGTATAGTGTCGGGTCTACTCGTTTATGAAACTAGTGATTTAAAGAAGATCTAAACCCTCTAATTTCGTATCGTGTTCGTGTCATGTTAACAAATCGTGTTATATTTTGATACTCCTAATTATATGTGATGTTTGAAATTTGTTTCTTATGCCTATTTTACCCCCCAATGCCCTTGCAAATGTGGAACATATATTGGGGCAACAATGCTACTACATCCACCACATCTTTTGTCGAATGCCTTATCCTAAATAAATATGAATTATTAAACTAGTATAATATATTCCACAAACTTTTACTAATCAATTAAAAAATTATTAATGTGTCTCATCATTTGCAATTTGAAATTTGATAAAATATTTTGGTATCTTTTACCAAATTTTTTATCCTAAATCAATATGAATAATTTGGACAAGTATATTCCACAAACTCTTACTAACTATTCAAAAATTATTATTGTGTCACATAGATCATATAGAGTTTAAAATTTGATTAATTTTTTTTTTTTTGGTGAACACAATACTACTCATGTTGGGAGGATGGTAATTAGGGTCACAATTTGGGTGGATTGAAGTGTCAACCATAACCAAACTCTAAGTATAAAATTTTCAATCCTACCGCTAATCCTAACCAGCCTCAACTCGAAGTATTCAACTCNTTATTTTTTAAAATAAAACCCTACCTCAAATTATTTAAAAACTTTCAATGGAGACAAGTTCTAAATAATGTTAAATTTATCATAATTTCGAAGAAGCCCCAAAGTTTTTTGAAATGATAATGGCCCCGTGCTGGATTCACCTCAGACACCACTCATATTCAAATTTATTTATTAATTTGTGTCTAATGAGCTATATTATATCAGGTTTGTGTCATGTATGAACCATGTATAACTAGTATATAAACGAATCATGTTGTATTTTTTTTAATTGGTTTCACTTATATTCGATTCGTTTATTAATCGTATAGTGTCGGGTCTACTCGTTTATGAAACTATTGATTTAAAGAAGATCTAAACCCTCTAATTTCGTATCATNAAATAGAGCTCGAGTAAGAACCAAACAAAGAAACGGAGATCCAGATGAAGAGGAGATCAGCTTTGTTACTGATTGCTCTATCCAGATCTATCGAGGTCTTCTTCATCAGATCTATCAAGGTCTTTTTCTCCAGATCTGTAGTGGACTTCTCCAAATCTATCGAGGACTTCTACATGTCCAGCAGACGAAGAAGTGTGCAGATCCTCTGCTATTGGGAGAAAACCGCATGACATGCGGTTAAGTGGAACGACACCGTTTTTGGGTGCTTTTTGTAATTTTTTTTTTACCAGTCCGAACCAAAAACGACGTCGTTTTTGGTTCTTCAAATCCATATCTGAAGATCCCTTCTCTTTCCTCTCGCTGTCTACCTTCGTCATTGTCATCTGATCGATGCTCCATCTGAAGATCCCTTCTCTATTCTTGATAATGTTAAGCTATCTGATTCAAATCCAAAAGATTTTACAATGGATTTGAATTATGGGTTGAGATCTATAAGGAACTCTGCGAAGCTTGTGATCAGAGAAATGGAGTCTGCGAACTGGGATATCGAAGCTGCTTCAAATGCCATAGAGTCTGGAGTTATATTCAAGAACACAAATCACAAAGGTTTCGCTTTTGAATCATTTGTGTGCAAAGAAATGTTTGATGGGTTCAACAAACCCAATTTCTCTCTCCTAAACAAGGCGTTAACAGATGCTAATTTGAGTCGATTTTTCTTCTTTGATCAGTTCAAGAAGTTAAAATCAGTGGGTTCAATTCATTTTCTCAAGGAAAATACAGATTCTTTGATTGGGAAGTTCTTGAAGGCCAAGTATCTCTGTTTGGTTCACCCGAAAATGGAGACTTCATTTTCCGGGAATCTGAATCAGAGAAAGAAAATCAATTCTGGGGAGTACCCAGAAACGGAGTTTTTAAAAGCATTTGCTGAAATGGCGAGAAGGGTTTGGTTGGATTTGCGATCTGAAACTCCTCTATCACAGGTGAGGAGGCTACCTTCTGAAATTCCAAAAATTTGGCCAGTCTTTAGTTGCAGAGCTACATTTATCTCACCAATTATTTCCTTTTAATTTTCTCTCAAAAATGAACATCAATGAAAATGCAAAATTATTCAGTTTCAAATTTTCGGTACATTTCATGAATTCATTAAGACATAATTTAAAATACAAATAACACTTGGTGTGCAAAACAGAGAATGATTTTGGGAGGGTTATGGGAAAGATAGAAAAGGGTTTGAGAGATGGGATTTTGAAGAGAGGGTAGGGTTTGTCAACGGGTGGTGATAGAGATGAGAGATTGGTAGAGATGAGAGATTGGTGGCGATGGTGATGACCATGGTTGCTGCTGGGTTGTGAGGAACACAGATACAGGGTTTTGTGAACGATGTTGGGTCTGATCTGGGAGGATCAAAAACGGTGTCGTTTTTGGTGTAAGATTTTCAAAAAAAAAAAAAATCTAAAATGCCGTAAAACGGTGACGATTTATTAAACCGCATGTTATGCGGTAACTCTCCAACCGCAGAGGAGCCGGACCCGACGAGGAAGAGATGGAGAAAGGTCGAGATGCCCGACACCTCAAGCCTAGCACTGCCGGAATTCAGTTCAAGTTGGAATTTTCTACCCAAGCCCAACACTAATTTTAAAAGTGAAAATTAGAAGTGAATTTCCCTAAATATACTTGTTTAGAGATAAATTCTACAAGAAAATTTATAAGAGGCTAAGTCTATGTTTAAAATTATATATAATGACTTAAGTCCATTTTTTTTATCTCAAAAATATCCTCCCTTCAAAGGAAATTAATATTTTCTCTCTCATATCTATCTATATACATATATAGGTTAAGAGTTTTACTAACATTAAAGTTTTTTCTCTCTCTTATCTATTTATATTCATATATAGGTTAGGTAAATATATAGAGTAACATTAAAAAAAAATAGTAACATTCAAATACAAAAAAAAATTACTATGAATTTGAATAGTAAAATTCAAATTCATGTTACTATTTTTTTTATTATGTTACTGTTCATGTTACTTCTTTTGTTGATTATGTTATTGTTCACGTACTATTATTTTTAAGCATGTTACTACTATTATTTTTCTAATTATTAATATTCAATGTTACTATTTTTTTTTAATATTACTATTTTTTATATTTGAATGGTACTATTTTTTGCGTTTGAATTTAAGAGAAATAATTATTGTTAAGTATGTTACAGTTTTTGTTAAGCATGTTACTATTTTTGTTGAATATGTTACTGTTGTTATTTTTTAAAAATATTAATATTGAATGTTTCAATTTTTTTATGTTTAATTGTTACTATTTTTTTGTATTTAAATGTATTATTTTTGTGTACAAATGATAATTTTTTTTGTATTTGAATATTACTATTTTTTATTTTTAATGATCCTATATATATAGATAAGAGAGAAAAAAAATTTTAATATTAGTCAAACTCTTAACATATATATGGATATAGATAGATATGAGAGAGAAACGATTTTAATGTTAGTCAAACTCCTAAGATTTTAGAGTTTTTAATTTTTAGTTTTATTTCACTTCTAAAAAGAAGGGATAGTATGGTAAAATTGACAAAAACGGACTTCATAACAAATAAATTTCTTTTACGGATTTAAGTCCATATAGGAGGATTTGGTCTCCAAATTTCCCTCTTAAAAATTCCAATCAAAGCGTTATTTGTTTGGATTGGGTTAAGATTGGGCCCGGGTTAGCCCACCAAAATATCACACCTAATGGGATTGGATTGGGAAAAACTTTTAGTTGGGCTTGATATGGAATGGGCCGTTCGGCCTATTATGAGAGATGGGGGTGTTTATTTTATCTTATGAGTTAAAATTATGATATTCGATCTTCTTACCTAATACTTTGTAAAAGAGATTTTTCTTAACTTACCCTACCCGATTAAGTATACTATGCTTATCTGAATTTCATCCAAAACAATTGGGTAAAAAATCGGGTTAAGACAATATTTTTTAGTTATTAATTTTTGAATTATTTTTACAATTCAATAGTGCACCAATTAACAAACACAATAATGTTAAAATGTTAAAATTTTAACACATTAATAGTGTTTCTGGTTTGTGGTTTCTACACACATTAACAATGTTAAAATGTTAAAAATTTAACACACACACACACACGTATATATACGGGTAGGAAGACGAAATTTTTATAGATAATTCGCATTCCTATTCGATGTTTGCGAAATACCAAAATTTCTTCCACGCCTANCATGTTTAAAATTATATATAATGACTTAAGTCCATTTTTTTTTATCTCAAAAATATCCTCCCTTCAAAGGAAATTAATATTTTCTCTCTCAAATCTATCTATATACATATATAGGTTAAGAGTTTTACTAACATTAAATTTTTTTCTCTCTCTTATCTATTTATATTCATATATAGGTTAGGTAAATATATAGAGTNGGTTAAGAGTTTTACTAACATTAAATTTTTTTCTCTCTCTTATCTATTTATATTCATATATAGGTTAGGTAAATATATAGAGTAACATTAAAAAAAATAGTAACATTCAAATACAAAAAAAAATTATTATGAATTTGAATAGTAAAATTCAAATTCATGTTACTATTTTTTTTATTATGTTACTGTTCATGTTATTTCTTTTGTTGAGTATGTTATTGTTCATGTACTATTATTTTTAAGCATGTTACTACTATTATTTTTTTAATTATTAATATTCAATGTTACTATTTTTTTTTAATATTACTATTTTTTATATTTGAATGGTACTATTTTTTGCGTTTGAATTTAAGAGAAATAATTATTGTTAAGTATGTTACAGTTTTTGTTAAGCATGTTACTATTTTTGTTGAATATGTTACTGTTGTTATTTTTTAAAAATATTAATATTGAATGTTTCAATTTTTTTATGTTTAATTGTTACTATTTTTTTGTATTTAAATGTATTATTTTTGTGTCCAAATGATAATTTTTTTTGTATTTGAATGTTACTATTTTTTATTTTTAATGATCCTATATATATAGATAAGAGAGAAAAAAAATTTTAATATTAGTCAAACTCTTAACATATATATGGATATAGATAGATATGAGAGAGAAACGATTTTAATGTTAGTCAAACTCCTAAGATTTTAGAGTTTTTAATTTTTAGTTTTATTTCACTTCTAAAAAAAAGGGATAGTATGGTAAAATTGACAAAAACGGACTTCATAACAATTAAATTTCTTTTACGGATTTAAGTCCATATAGGAGAATTTGGCCTCCAAATTTCCCTCTTAAAAATTCCAATCAAAGCGTTATTTGTTTGGATTGGGTTAAGATTGGGCCCGGGTTAGCCCACCAAAATATCACACCTAATGGGATTGGATTGGGAAAAACTTTGAGTTGGGCTTGATATGGAATGGGCCGATCGGCCTATTATGAGAGATGGGGGTGTTTATTTTATCTTATGGGTTAAAATTATGATATTCGATCTTCTTACCTAATACTTTGTAAAAGAGATTTTTATTAACTTATCCTACCCGATTAAGTATACTATGCTTATCTGAATTTCATCCAAAACAATTGGGTAAAAAATCGGGTTAAGACAATATTTTTTAGTTATTAATTTTTGGATTATTTTTACAATTCAATAGTGCACCAATTAACAAACACAATAATGTTAAAATGTTAAAATTTTAACACATTAATAGTGTTTCTGGTTTGTGGTTTCTACACACATTAACAATGTTAAAATGTTAAAAATTTAACACACACACACACACACGTATGTATACGGGTAGGAAGACGAAATTTTTATGGATAATTCGCATTCCTATTCGATGTTTGCGAAATACCAAAATTTCTTCCACGCCTACCCGATTTTTTTCGATAGCCGATCAATAGAATATGATAGGGTCGCTTAAGATCGAAATATTCGGGTAATAAAAAATTTGGACATTCCTAACGAGAGAAGAGAGTTTGTTGGGATTGATCTTCACTATAGGTAAGGGTTTGGGGGTGGGGACAGATAGGTTCAGTACAAGGTCCGCCCGAGTCAAATAGAGGCCGTAGGCAAAATTTTTGGATGAGGCCCCATTAATTATGATTATTATGATATATATTAATATATTTTTTTATTTAAAATATTAAATTTTATTTATTTAAAAATAAATTCTTTATATTTGAGATGCCAATTTACTATTTAAATTTACGTATTTAAATTCTTCATCATATCATTTAGATTTATAAAATTCATTCAAGAACTAATAACAAAATAATAAAAGAGTAGATTTGAAGTTCAATACTTGACACTCAAGTGATGTTTACATTGGCATGAAAATAGAAAGAAACTATTAACAAACTCAATTTAAATTTAAATAAATTTAACTTATCAAAAGTCCATTAAATTCTAAAAAGAAAAACAAAAATACATACTTTTCAAGTTAATCAAAATAGCTGAAAACAATATACAAAAAAAATAATAATTACATAGTTTCATTATACATGGTAGGTTGCAAGATATGAATAGCATTATGATTAATATAATCAGTCTCATATTAGTATAAAATTCGAAAAAATAAAATTTTATTTATTGAACTTGCATCTATAANTTTCTACACACATTAACAATGTTAAAATGTTAAAAATTTAACACACACACACACACACGTATGTATACGGGTAGGAAGACGAAATTTTTATGGATAATTCGCATTCCTATTCGATGTTTGCGAAATACCAAAATTTCTTCCACGCCTACCCGATTTTTTTCGATAGCCGATCAATAGAATATGATAGGGTCGCTTAAGATCGAAATATTCGGGTAATAAAAAATTTGGACATTCCTAACGAGAGAAGAGAGTTTGTTGGGATTGATCTTCACTATAGGTAAGGGTTTGGGGGTGGGGACAGATAGGTTCAGTACAAGGTCCGCCCGAGTCAAATAGAGGCCGTAGGCAAAATTTTTGGATGAGGCCCCATTAATTATGATTATTATGATATATATTAATATATTTTTTTATTTAAAATATTAAATTTTATTTATTTAAAAATAAATTCTTTATATTTGAGATGCCAATTTACTATTTAAATTTACGTATTTAAATTCTTCATCATATCATTTAGATTTATAAAATTCATTCAAGAACTAATAACAAAATAATAAAAGAGTAGATTTGAAGTTCAATACTTGACACTCAAGTGATGTTTACATTGGCATGAAAATAGAAAGAAACTATTAACAAACTCAATTTAAATTTAAATAAATTTAACTTATCAAAAGTCCATTAAATTCTAAAAAGAAAAACAAAAATACATACTTTTCAAGTTAATCAAAATAGCTGAAAACAATATACAAAAAAAATAATAATTACATAGTTTCACTATACATGGTAGGTTGCAAGAT